CCAGTGGATCTGCTGTCCTCTCCTTGCAGTTCTGTTTGCTCACATAAGTGGTGCTGTTGTGTTCATTAGACATTGAGAACTGGTGCATCTTTTTGATCACTTTATTACTACCTAATAACTCCTTATTATGTCTGTCCCCACCCCCAGCCAACTGGCCAGAATGCATTGGATCAAAGAAACTATAGAAAATAGGCCCTTAGTAATGAGGTTGGTGTGTGTGTGTGTTTGTGTGTGTGTGTGTGTGTGTGTGTGTGTGTGCTTTAGTCCTTCATTGAGCTGGGCCTCTATATTGTGTACTCATTTCCCCTATGCCTCTTAGTTCTCCTCTACTAACTACTTAGTTTGCTATAGGAGGCTATAGTTGGTATTTCCAGTTCCCTGGACAGATCTGGCTATGCTAAAACTGTGGTTGTTTTCCTGCTGACTCTAAAAAGTGGCAAGGCTCCTGGAGATGACCACTCGTCCTTACCCATGATGGAGTTCCTCTGGCTGGCTCAGATCTGACTGCCCGTCTTCAGCAGTACTCATGTTTATTGCTCATGTTTCTGAGTAGTGTTAAGAGCTCCTGTATTAAGCTCTGACATCCCTGTGTTCTCTTGTTTGTTTCCAAGTTGTAGAAACAGTGGTTTGCTCTGAGTCCACTTTCCTTGTTCATCTAGCAGTAGTTTTCAGTTTGTTCAGGCTTAGTTGTTCTTAGGGCAGAATGGTGTCTCCCAGTGCTAATGCTGAACTAGAAACCAGAATGTTGTATTATTGCAAGATTTTAAAATCTGTAGACATTGATAAAAATGCAAATAAAACCCCCAAAGACAACTATTGTTCATAATTTGATCCATTTTCAAATCCATATCACTTTCTCTGCAGAAGTTATTTGGAAAATGTTGTTCTCTGTTTTTCCTTGACACTGCATTATGAGCATTTCCCAGTTTTAGAAAAATTTGACTTAGGAAAGTTGTGTGAAATTCCACTGTTAGGGTTATCCTGATTTACTGACCCATTCTCCCAGTTGGGCATTTAGGCTTTCATTTCTGGTGATTGGAGCACTGTTGTCATCAATGTGATTTGAAAACTAATGATTTGAGAGATATGTCAGTTTAACAGAGGTTTGTGGTCCTCACAGTGACCACACTGCAGACTCTGTGAGGGGCAGGTCCCCTCTTCAGATCCAGCTTGATCATCACCTCTTACCATTCGTGTGAACAGTTTACCATTGTGCCTTACTCATGCAGATAACAGCACCTACTGATAAAGCATTCATGCAAGGACTGGAAGGAGGTGATGCATTTTCATGTTTTTTTCTGGTCGTATTCACTTCTGTGTTTTGTTCCATTATTTTAAGTGTTGTGACTTGTATACATATACTTATTATAAATAGTTCTTCCATTTTGTCTTTTGCCTTTTAATTTTGTACATATAGATATCTCAAAGTTTTCAATTAGATGTGAAGTCTTAAAATATTTCTTCTAAAATTGTTTTATATAGAACATCCTATTTTCTAAAATGAGACATACACTCATCTTATTTCCTATAGGTTAATTACTTCTCCTCAGTTCTTACTCTTTTTCTCTCTGGGTCATTGCCTCAGGTAGAGAAGCAGATAGTTCAGACTTAATTATTGTATTATGGAAATGTGTAAAATTTAGTGATTTATTATTACATATTTATGCTTTTTATATTTATGTAAGTATTTATTTTACATGCATTCACTTGGCTAGAGTACCAAATATCTTATGGGATTTTATCAGTGTCCTGTTGAATGTGTACATTGATCTAGAATGAAGTAAGGCTTTATTAGGATTGAATCTAGGGCCTTGGTTGTACTGGGCAAGCACTCCACTACTGAGTAGAGTGGTGTGTGCACTCCTAGTGCAGACATACTTCATTTTGATTTAAGAGTTTGGACCCATTTCTTCGTTTATTTAGGTTTTACTTTACAGTCTGTATTGGTGTTCTCTAAAGGAACAGAGTGGATGAAATAGATTCATTAGATTGGCCTACTGATGTGTCTGGGTAGTCCAGCAATAGTTGTTTCATACTGACTCCCTAGTACTGGGATTAAAGGTGTGAGCCACCATTGCCTGGCTCTGTTTCTCTTTTAGCCTGGATCAACCTCATGTAGCCCAGGGTGGCCTGTAACTCACAGTGATCCATCTGCCTCTGCCATCAGTGTTGACATTAAAGGTATGTGCCACCACTGCCTGGCCTCTGGCTAACTAGTGGCTAGCTCCACACTCTGATCTTCAGGCAAGCTTTATTTGTGAAAGTACAAACAAAACATCACCACAGTGCTTCCTGCTAAGATACTGACTATGCTGAGCCTTTGGGCTTAGTCAGTAAGACACTGCACACAACTTTAGAGAATTCAGAGGTCATCAAGGTACAGATTCCTGTGACAAGAGGAGACTATAGCAGCTGAAAGTGAATTCTTTTGAAGTGTTTCTCCTTTCCTCATCTTGTGCATATATCATATTACCTTATTTTTGTGGCTGTGATCCTAAAAATAGGTAGCTTTTTCACTCCCTCTGTCCCTGATATTAATTGCTTGCTATGTTTCTAGGTCAGGTTGTACTCTGTAAGCATTTATCATGACACGTGAGTCACTGGAAGCAGTGTTGTCCTTTCTGGGTGGTGATTATTTAGAAACTTCAACAGGCACTGTACTGTCTTCATTAGGAGTGCATACTACCTTTTTCCTGTTCTGTATTTCCAGTGACTCCTGAGAAGTAAGCAATGCAAGTGACTGCTGCCCGTGTCACAGCAGAACAGTAGAGCTTGGCTGTCTAGTTTGTGGGGCCTGTTGAAAAATTACAAATGGCCTCACAGGGCATTAGAAGTCCAGGCCTTTGGGACTCCACAGGCTGTGTAGTCCTCATGCCTCTAGGCCCAGCTGAGGCTGAAGACAAGTCATCCTCTGAAGCCCATTTCTGCTGCTCTGGCTTCTGCTCCAGATTAACCTCAGCCTTTTATCTGCCCTTGCTGGTGATTTGAATTCTTTGGAGTATATTTGTTGTCAAAGAAATGTGTTTAAGTTAGATGGTCTAGATAGTAAAATATTTTGTAAGGGAATTATGGAAATAGAATCTGGTATGTAAAACAAGTAAGTTGGGAAACAGAGGTGCAAAAATGTAAATGATAGGTTTTCTAATGTTCCCTTGGCGTGTTTACTTGTGCACACCAAGATCTTTCATCTCTAGGATATGGAGCTTAGAGCTTCTTCTTGGATTGTAAATTTCTTCTTCTTCTTTTTCTTCTTCTTTTTTTTTTTTTTTTTTTTTTTTTTGGTTTTTGGAGACAGGGTTCCTCTTTGTAGCTTTGAGGCCTATCCTGGCACTCGCTCTGGAGACTAGGCTGGCCTCGAACTCACTGAGATCCACCTGCTGGGATTAAAGGCGTGCTCTACCAATGCCCGGAGGATTGTAAACTTCTTAACTGTCTGTGATCCTACTTTCTGTACTTCTAATAAGGTATCTAGCTCTTTCTGGCTCTTTGGTCTTTTCTGGCTTAGTTTTCTTGAGTACACAGTGACTGTGTACTCCTTCACGCTTGGTGTGGCATGACAAGAGACCATTTCCTCATTGTTCATGCTTTCCCCCTATAGCATTGGCCCACATTTGTTGCTTTGAGTCAGCCTCTCACCTAGGACTGTCACACTCAAGTTGTCACTTCTTGCTACTTAGAAATCTTCCAGTCAATTGCTTACCTGCCCCTTAGGTTCTGAAGAGCAGTTTTCGTACGCGCCCGGCCTCTCCCCTCCACCCTTCCGCCCTTGCCACCCTGCCATGCTTCCTGCTTTCCTTGGCCATCACATGGCTGTCACAGCTTTTTTCAGTCTTGCTTTTTCCTATTTCACAGGAAAAGCTGTCCCACTTCTTTCCAAAATGAACTTTGGAATTTCTAAATATATCGACTCCTGCCTGCTCTGAGACCTTTATTTAGCCATTTGTCTCGTCTCTTTCATCGTCTCAAAGCTGCTTCCCTATCAACTCCTCTTCTACTTACAAATTTGTCTATGCTTTCCATGTCAAAATTATTTTAGAAGAAAAACCAAATTCTGTGTCAAGTTTTTTTAATTAAATATTTTATTAAAAGCTATAAAAAACACAGCTTACCACAGCCTAACAAGCCATTCCGTCCTGTTGAAGAGTTCAGAGGTACATCTTAGTTCAAGCGTGCTTTGATGCAGGCCCATTGATGTCCACCGTGGGACAGGGTGTGTCTAGACAGCCCGTCTCTTGTCCTATTTTGATTCTTCTCAGTCAGCTTCCTTCCTAATTAGCTCTCCACCCTGGCTCTCCTCCCTGCTCCTGTGTCTGAGGTCTCCTTTCCACTTCTAAGAGTCTCATTGCATCTTCTTGGGGTTGGTGTGCCGTGAACTCATCCCTGAGTCAGTGGACGCCACATGAAGAGGATGCTTGGTAGCCAAGTGTCATTTCTTTTACCAGTTTGATTTGTTGCTGTCAGGAATATAAGAGTATCCTAATCAAGAACAGAGTAGGACTAATACAGTAGCAGACGGCCTTGGGGTGAGGCTGACACAGCTAACAGTGGAATTCCATTTTCTGCTTTCTCCTTTTGTTGAAGACTCTCATGTGGATGGTCCATTTTCCCAATCACAAGTTGGTTTCATCTTTAGTACATCACGTAACTGGATCACAGTTTGTCTCTGTGCTTCTGGGCTTTCCCTGTACTCTTGTTTCTTTTGCTCAGTGTGGGGCTCCGGCTTTATCCACACAGTTGCAGATGTCAGTAGTTCATTCTTATGTACTGGTTACATTTAGTAGTGTTACATTTAGAGAATTGCCAATTTTGTTTATGTTTCTTAATGGACAAGAGACTTGTCCATGGAAGATACCTGCTGTAGGGTTTTTGTGAGGTTTTGTTGGCCTGGTGTCACCTGCTATTCATCTACTCTTGAGGGAGAGCAGCAGAGGAGTAGGTGATACTTGTATTCTTTGCCTCACATTGAAATGCAGTGATTAAACTAACCTTAATCATTTCAGAGTGCATTGAGAATGGATATGCAAAGTTCATGGTGATAAATTTAAACAATAACAGAGAACACCTACCTCTTATTGGAAAAGTTGGACTTACATGGAGAACTACTATTTTTGATGGCTTTATTGAGGTAAAAACAAGTCTTTTTTTATTTGAAGTAACTTTATGTGTAATAATAATAAAAGTAAGTGTTGATGTGTATGCATAACCCTCCCTTACAGCATTCTGGCTTCCGTAGATTTGTGAATTCTTTTAGCAGAAAGAGATCTTCATCAAGTACTTATTTAATGTTTTTTTTTCAAATAAACAGTAAGTAATTTAACAACCTATAATAGAAATAATCCAGTAAACAAAGCACATTGATACAATGGTATAGTATTCAGACAACAAAAGTTACCTATGGTTGTTAACATTGTAATGTATCTTAAATGTAGCTAGTTAAGTAGAAAAAGCAATTATAATTATATAATATCTCAGTTATACACAAATATTAGATAAATGTAGAATAAAGGTATGGATTATTGTTTACTATAAGAGCTGTTTGTTTAAAACTGAATTTCCTACGTGGCAGTCAAGTTGATTTCAAGTCTTTGTATGATTTCAAGCCTTCATATTATCGGAATTCTAAAATTTGTTTTCTCTAGTTTTGAGCTTATTCTTGAATTACCTTTTTAACAGCATTTTCCTGAGTCCTATCACAGATCTTTTTTGTGTGTGTGTGTGTGTGAAATTTGATGTTTGGTGTGGTTAAAAACAGTAATTTACAGAGATATACTTAGGTTCATTTAGTCCAATAAGAAGTCAGTTAATAAATACTACATGCCAAAATCTAAGCCAGAGGTTGTATATATCATCTTTAAGAACAGCCAAAAGAGATGAGCTCAGTAGTCTGTGACTCAAAAATTTTGTTTTAGATAATTTTGTATTTTCATAGTTTGTAGATGAATGATGTTGTAGGATAACTCTAAGAAAAATATTTTTTAAAATACCTTTCTAAGAATTTAAAGAAAATCACATCAAATTCAGAATAGTCATATATTTACGAATATGTAGTTCAGTTTGAAGGTTTAACTAAATGGTATAGTACTTCCTTAGCACATGAGAAACCCAAGGTTTGATACCAATGCTGGAAAATAAATGAATGGAAAGAAAAGAATGAAATGAATTAATGAATGAATGAACAAATGGATGGATGGGTAGGTGGGTGGGTGGATAGACAGACAGACAGACAGACAGATAAGGTTACTAACTGGGCCTTTGGATCATCAGTGTCTACTGTGGTAAGTTTTTTACCCAGGATAGGTGTGGTAGTTTCAATATAATTGGCTCCCATAATCTCAGAGGGAGTGGCACTATTAGGCAAAGTGGCTTTGTTGGAGTAGGTATGGCCTTGTTGGAGGAAGTGTTATTTAAAGTTTTGTGTTAGTTACTGTTTTATTGCTGTGAAGAGACACCATGACCAAGGCAACTCTTATAAAAGAAAATATTTGATTGGGGGCTTGCTTGCAGTTTTCGAGGGTTAGTCCATGATCATCACGGTGAGAAGCAGAGAGGCGGCACTGGCACACTAGCTGAGAGCTTATTTCCTGATCCATAAGCAGAGAGAGCGAGAGGGAAAGAGGGAGGGAGAGAGAGAGAGAGAGAGAGAGAGAGAGAGATGGTTTGCAATGAACAGGATCTTGCAGAGAAAAGGCAGACTTCTTTACTCTAGTAGGTCTGGTGTAGGTTTTTGAAACCTCAAAGCCCATCCCCAGTTCCTGTCTCCTCCAACAAGGCCACACCTCCTAATCCTTCCCAACCAGTTCTCCTAACTGGGGACCAAGCATTCAAACATGAGCCTATGGGAGCCATTCTCATTTAAACCACAAGTAACTTTGCTGTCTATGGAGAGTATTGGAGAAGAATGGGTAGGTAGACTGTAGTTGTGTTTGGATAGCTCTGACTGTACCCACTGTTCCCTCACACAGTCTGTCTGTCTGTTCACTGGAGAGACGGGGGAGGTGAAGGTTGGCATTTGCTGGAAACGTTTTCACCTATTTGAAGGCTGTGCAGTTACGAGTTCCTGTTCCAATTTCCAGGATCTTGAGCAGCTAAATAGAAGTGCCAAATGGTGTGGGAGAGTTGGGGATTGTCAGAGACGGAGGGTAGAAAAATGAGAGAGATTTCCCATGGTCCATTCTCTTGTGTGACTTTGTACCCATGGTAACCCCTGGTTCTCTTTACTGAGTGGCATGAGTGTAATCTTGGAGTCACAGGTTGGTTGTAATTGCAGACAGCCTCTGCACTGTGCTCATTTTGCCCTTTGTTGTGCACATCTGGGCAGAACTGTGGTGACCGTGACCCAAGACCAGGGGCTGGATTCCTGTGGAGCCTGACCTTCAGACCATTTGGTATTGGTGATTTACCCTGCTTATCTGAGCAAATCCTAACCCTTGGTAAAAATCGAATATGTCACATATAAAGTATTATTGTTTCCTATCTTTGAGTACAGATGTGACCTTTTGTTTTTCTGTGACTGAAATGGCCATGATGTAAAAACATATTAAAAATATTAATGTTAAAAATAGACCTTGAGGACCAAGAAAGGCAGAATATAAATATGGCATGCTTAAAGTGTCAGAGTAATTTTAAAGTTGTTTAATTCCAGTTTCTTTTCACAGCAAGATCAAAGCAGGTATTTAGTTCTCTGTGGTTAGAAATGGAAGCATAGTAATTATATCATGAGATAAAGCTTTATCTTAGCTCTAATATTGAAAACAAAGTCTCCTCTGGAACTGCTTGTAAGGAGGACTCAATCCTAATCCTGAGTCCTTTAGCAATAATTATGCGGGGGTTTCCACAGCATATCTCACAGAGGCTGCACCACCAGCTGCAGAATCCGACTCTCCATCAAGCTCCGGGCATTGTTTCTGTACGTCACTCCATCTAAAGGCGTGATTCTGTGTCTTTGAAGTAGTGGGTTGTGGTCCTGGACAGTTTCTCCAGTAATACCTTTTCTCACAGGGAAGAGTTTGTTGTCTCTCCTGAGTTGGAGGTTGGGTGGATCTGCATATGCCATTTATCTATAGAGCCAGTATTATATATTATGGCAAATTTATTTTTGTAGCTTCCTAAGAAAATCCCTAAGTGAGGGATATCGTGTTCCATGTGTTTGCCATATAGTTCAGGATTTCCCTCTAGGAATCTGACCACCATAAGCATAGTGAACAGTAAGAATGCAATTTAAGAAATTGGCTTTCGGGACTTTAGTCTCTTTGTTTCATTTTGTTTAAAGGAAGGACATAAAGTAGAAAAAGGCTTTAGCTTTTGGGTATACTTCTCCATGTTTTTACCTCTCACATTGGAGAAACTAAAGCAGGAGGATAACAATCAATACAAGGCTAGCCTGGGCTACAGAGTAAGGCTCTGTCTGGAAAATAAAATAATTCTTAGTTACATATGACTATTAAAAATAGAAATGAAAGATAATCTCCTCAACCCAGAATTGTAGACATACCCTTCTAATGTATAAGATGACAAGGCATGAAGGAAAAACCAAAAGAAGACAAAAAAAGGATCGCCAAAAGAAATCCATGAATGAGAGATTCTGATAGGAATAGAGACTGATTAGGGAATATGTCATTGTGAAGTATACCGAACACACACCTGGCTGTCCACACCACTGCACAAGAAGCACAGTTACCCTAGAGCACTGTCCTGCGTGGGTCACATGACATTCAGTCACTGCAAGCATCTGTAATGTGTTTCTACCACATAAAAAGGAGAACTGGTCTATGACCTGTGAGTTGAACTTCCACGACTGAGCTCCTGGCTAGGCTTGGGATGCTCCCCACTGCATCACGACCAAGCCAGCAAGTTTTAGCTTCCTGCACTCCTGAGCTCTAGGAGACCAGTGCTTCCTCATGGGAACTGTGAAGCCCAGACCTCTGTCAATCAACCTAACAAAGCATCGCTTTGTTCACTTAGCAGAACCAGATTTGGGTGGCAAACATTATCAGCATTTACCCAGAGGGGAGTTTTACACATGAGAAGGATGTATCTACAATTCTCAAACAAAAGAGATTCTTTTATTTCTAAGTCATGGCATAGTTTGAATTTCATCCACACCAGGCAGGATTAGTGGTGGGCTGCAGGAAGATGGTTGGGGAAGTGGAACTAGGGTGGCATCAGACTTCAGACAACTGATGGTCAGTGATGTTGTGCCAGTGTCCAAGTCGCAATTCCAGTGCAGTTTTTCTGGCATGACCATGGGCTTGAATAAATTATACCAAACTTGATGGATCTTTGGGTCATCCGAGTTGTTGAGCAAGAACTTGTATATTTAATTATTGAACCTGAAAGAGGTTCAGCCTCTTTGGTGGTACACTTTGGAAGTCATGGACACCTTGGTTAATATGAATTGTGGATGTAGACAAATTCCTTCTATGGAGAAAGTGACTATATATAATAAAACCAGTGCTTTAGGTCAAGCTGCGAGGACCACTATTAGGGCCTCATAGAAGCTATGGGTGTTCTGGAAGTGCTGGAAAGGTAGTATTTGAAGCAAAGACTGCTACACAGTGCTGAGCCTGCCCAGATGGAGACTTAGCAGATGTTCACTGTGTTTAGAGACCTTGGGAAGAGATGGGGTCAGAGTGGGTTGAAGTGTGAGCAGGAGGTAAGGCTTTGAACAAAGGAAGATAGGTTTGCCTGCAGAGAGAAGGGAGAGCAAGGAGCACTGGGGCTCTGGGAGATTTATTACTCTCTGTGTGTCTGTCCCTTTGTTCCTCCCTCCCTCTGAATACCCCCACCCCCACCCCAGCAGTCATTCTAACAAGTCTGAATGTTAAAAGCTGATGGAACAGAGGCAATATTCACTGTGTCAGAGGCTACCTCCTTGTTGGTGGGTCATACCAAAACCCATCTGATAGAAGCACACTTAGCACAGATGGGCAAGTAAGGCGGTGGTGGGGGCAGAGTTTGTATTTGCCACTGGAAAGATAGGAAGGTGTTGCTCTGCCATCTCTCTGGCAAGAGTACATGATGTGCAGGGGTGAGTAGGACACAGAGGGTCATAGGAGAGGTTGAGGTATGCCAGTTCAGGGCGGAGATGGTATCCCATAATGCACAGTAGACTCAAAAAACTGTGAGCATGGCCATGGCTACCTGTGGATAGCTCCATCTGTGGCTGTGTACTGTGCTGGGTGGTTAGATGCAGACACACATGAGACACCTCAGTTCAGGCACAGCTTGGTTTTAGCCGATCTGGAGCCAGGCCAGATGAAGTGTTGATGAAGAGGCCAGTCCAGTGAAGAACAGTGAAATGGAAGCGGATGACATGAGGCCTGAGGAGAGCTAGAGGGCTGGTATGTTAGGGGTCATGGGTCATGGGTCATGGGTCATAGGTCATGATGCTCCCCAAATCTTTTCACACACACAAACACATGTGGCCACACACACTCCTTTCATCTAAGCAGATGTGTTAATTTCTTTCTTTTAACATAGTTGTGCCTCACACATGTAGTCGAGGATGCACTAGCAGTGATGGTATACAGTGGGCCGGTGGGCTGGGAACCAGGAGTAACTGAGAAAGCAGGACGTTGAAGAGACAGGTTAGAAGCAGGGCCCACACTGTTGATTCTGGAAGTGCCGCATTCCCAGGAGGTAAAACTGGGGATGAATGAGTGAAGTTGAAGAGAAAATCATAGGAGTCGGATAGCCCAGACTGAGAGTCTGTCACTGGATCCACTAGCAATTGGGGTTACTCAGGAGATGGTGAGTCTTGGAGGAGAGAATGAGAGGGAGACTTAGGGGGATGGCGAGTCTAGAGCAGTGGCCGTGTGAGCAAGAGGATGGTGGGCAGCAGAGAGAAGACACATGAGGCCAGTGTGGGAGAGCTGGACGTTTGGAGTCTTGAGGAAACAGGTGACAAGAATGAAAGGTGACAGTCTGCTAGAGCATTGAGAAGCTACTGTCCAGGGCAGGATGCCACCCTCCTGTGAATGATGGCACAGACCTCTCATTTGTGGAAGACCTGCTGCCTCTAGACAGGTTACGGTACTGCCAGCTCCTTGTGCACACACGTGGATGAGCACGGCTGCTGAGGAAGTCTGGTAAGTACTAACTGACTGGGTTTTGAATAAAAAGTGGGTCCAGTGATGTGTATGAGAGGACTCTGATGCCACAAGCAGCCTTCCCAGTCAGTTTTACAGAGTCACAATTCCCATGGAAATGAGCCTGTTATCCCGACACTTGTGAATCTTAATTGCAGAGTTGCTCTTTCATGGACCTGACCCTTCTGGAAGAGTACAGGAAGCCCTTTTGGTGTGTGAGTTCTCCAGTGTACTTGAGGTCTATAGCCTACCCCTCTGACGGGCCTCACTTCCTGGGGCACACTTACTGTGTGGACTACATGGACACAGAAGGAGGCGTGCATGTGGAGCTGGTGTGGATCGAAGAGACGGAAGAATACTTCATCATCAGCCTGGTCCTTTACCTCAGTGTAGCAAAAATAAATCATTGGTTTGGGACGAAATATTGACTTTAGCAGTAGGTGACAAAGTCTTGTTATTAGTGAACTGTTTAGTTTTTTACAACTTTGTTGTTATTGAAAGTTAAAATAAAGCATATCCATGTCAGTCTGTCTGGTGCCTTCTTATCTTTCACTAGAAACTATGGTTTGTGAGTAAAGGTAGTGTTTGGAAGATTAAAATTTGAATAGAGCATGCTCCAGTGAAGATTCTTGTAAGACAACAACAGACAAAATACTTGGTTGAAAGACAAGGGAGTCACGTGGCCTGTGTGAATGTGTGCACATCAGGGAAGAGCAAGTACGGCCTCGTCTGGGGCTCAGGTTAGGAGATTCTAAAGGAACAGCTGTGGTAGCTGAGGGGCTGTAGATTAGACCAGTCTTCCCAATACTTGCTTCCTGGCTCTGGTACCAAATTCCATGCAGCAGCATAAAGAGGATCTGAGTGAAGGGCAAATAGGGAATCTTTGCCATACTTTAGCAACTTAAAAAATACATAATTATTCCAATATGAAAAGTTAACAGTAAACACTAACACTGTCACTCTATCTCCAGTCCTCTGTCTTAGTTAGTTAGGTTCACTCGTCTGCTTGCCTTGACCATGGTCTTCCCACTAGAGCTTTGCTGTCTGCCATCAGCAGTTGGCCAGAATTATGCTGAGGGAACACAGCTGCAGTCAGCTTGCCACCCCATGGCACTGGGGCAATGCATTGCCTTGTGCCAGCTGAGTACTACATGAGAATATTGGAGACACATGAGTAGCCCATGTGACATGGGAGGTCTTCCTCTCCCTTCATGCGACATTCTCTTTCACAGCCCTGGACTCAGGGTCCGGAGATTATCCAACCTTTGCTGTGGTTACTGCCTGGGACAGAGAACCCGAAACCTGGTCTCACTGGGCTGGTAAGGGATCAGCATGTTCAGATAGACCCATGCTTATCTCTTTAGATCAGAAGCCTTTGGGCATTTTGCTTTGTTTTCTACATTGGATATGAAATATATCTGTTGTTACATGTGAAATATATTCATAGGAATATAATAATATATTTTTCCTCTTCCTGCCTTTATTTAGCCAAAGTAAGTGAGCTCTCTGTGGCACACTCACTTGGCCTTACCATATGGTGCTGTCTATGATGTCAGGATATGGTGTGGGACCCTCTCTTCATGTTGACTAGAACCTCTGATTACTAATTACTCTTTTTATATATTACCCAGTCTTGGGTATTTAATGCGCAGAGACACCATGTGATTATTATATGCGTTGAAACCAAGTTTTCCTATACACGAAAAAAAGCACTTCATAATCATACTGCTTTGTCAAGAAGAAAGCCCTTTGCAAAGCAAGAGAATTGATTATGGTGGGGTATCTTGAATACAGAGAGCACCACAAAACAGGCCTCATTAAGTTGAATCAATTTAAGAAAAGTAACAGGTGCAAACTCTTAATTATTCAGTTGGCAGTGAAAACAGGTTTGAGTTACACACTGGAAAAGCATATCCATCCCTAGTGGGAGATAAAAAGGTATTTAAAGTCTGCTCAGATGCAAAATATGTCTGGCTTGAAATCCAGTCAAAGATCTGACCACCTTTTGCTGAAAGGTTTTATATAAGCTACCAGATAGTTGTCTCTTATTTTTAATAAGGTCTGCTTATAAACCTAATAATTACAAGTGCCCAAGAAGCAAAGTGGCTTAAATGGAAAAGCCTATGTGAAATATTTCCCTGACGCTTGTAAAGGAATTGTGCCTCCATCAAGCTGGTCTGGAGACAATTTTGGTATTGGGATAACATCACTCGGTCTTCATCCTGGAGAGCCTTCTTGGGTTTCCCATGAATTTAAGGAATATTATTTGGATTTCTTCAGCTGTAGTCAGCATGACTTAGATTGCTGTTGGACAGGTGTGAGCTGAAGAAGCCATGGGCAGAAAGGCACACGCAGTGGGCACTACCCAGCAGGATACCAGTAGGGTTAGGCCCGAAGGGCAAGCAGTAGGGTGCCTAGGAAATGAACTGCCTAGAAGAAAGGTACACTAGAACCCTGAATAGTGGATCTCGTGTGTCCATGATGGCTGAAGCACGGAGCCAAGACTAGTCTGGTCAGGGGCAAAACAGGCTGAAGGCACAGCTGCGAACGAGCAGGCCCTCGGTTGGTCAGTCAGCAGTCGGTGAGTGCCAGTATTGTTCAGGGCCAGATGTGAGTTGGGCAGCACAGTGCTGCTCTCCTGGATTTCATGTGTAGAGGAGAGGGCATGGGCAGGGAATGCTCAGAGGCTGAAGAGGTGCCCAGGGGTCAGTCTAGAGACCTGCATGGTGAGGTTGGGTCCTTTGGCCCATCCTTCTGGGGCTTTGCTCAATGCTTGCTTTACCCTCTGGTTTCTGGATGATCATGAAAAGGACTCTTGAATTTGACCAGTGGCCAGTGTGTGTTTACTGGTTGACATATGTTCTTGCCATAGTGAAACGAGAAACACTCATCTCTATGGGTCTAAATCGTGAGAAGTGCTCTCAGCGTTAAGATGAAACCGGTGATATCTCACTGACAAGGTTGGCTGGGGAGAAAGTGAAAATCTCACAATTAAGTAATAGTAACTTTCTGTGGTATGATCAAGAGCTTATGGAATGCCAGGCACCATGCAGGAGCATTACTTACAGTTTTAAAGATCTCCCTTTAAATGGTATAATGACATTTCACCACAAGGAGCTGAGATGGAAGTTAAATAACCAGAAGAGAAGAGCACCTCTGGGAGTTGGGATCTCCCTGGTCCCGAAGCATAGGCCTGATCACTAAACAGTACTTCCTGTCTGCTCTGGTGCCTGGGGCCCAAATATCTGCCTTGAATATTTACCATGAAAGGAATTGTAAGTACATAAGTATTTAGCAGAGTGTTAAAAGTGTCATGGAGTTGAGTAATAAGCTTGTTAAAAGAATTGTGTTGTATAAAACTGAGGTCCACTAACACAGAACTGAGCATATCCAAATCTATGAATGAGTACCAGGTAACAAAATTCCGAGTTTCCCCCTAAGTAAGAGACCTGCAAATAGACAGAGGAGAGCTCTGGACAGACACACGATTGTGGCAAAATGAGATACTTTTAAATAGATGGCATGGGATCAGTTGTAGCAACATCTGGAAGGAGGAACGCCTACTTCATGCCATGCCCTAAGGCATGTTCCAGGTAGATAGAGACCCAAGTGTATAAAGCAAAGTAAGAAAGCACCAAGATGGTGTTTATGATTTTGGCCATTCTGACAGGAGTAAGATGGTATCTCAGTTGTTTTGATTTGCATTTCCCTGATGGCTAAGGATGTTCAACACTTTCTTATGTGTCTTTCA